ATATAAATGATATAGGAAACTATTGGTGGTTCTTAAAGAGTTAAGTAATGGTTTGTAAACATAAGATTATTTATTTTCAGCTGTTACAGTCGTCCCCAAGTCGCCATTTCAGCTTCATTTGTTAAATACAATGCTTGTTAATTAACAAAACTAATCTTTTTTTTCTTAAAATGTTAATTAAGGTGTCCACTTACATATTCGGTTAATAATTTTTATTTGTTTAAACAAAATTACTATGTTACAATATAATATTCTAACACCAAAAAAAGTACTTACGTAGCGTGAAAATAACTTTTGTGATATAACTCTTTCAAAAGTACATAAAAATGGTTGCCAGCAGGGGTGTTCATGTAGATTTATTAAATACACCTTGTGCGCCACGTAGGAATCGAATCTAGAACTTGACACTCGAAATATTTGCTTTGTTACAATCGTCCCCTGTTACAATTGACCCCACTCTCCCCTACTTTAGCGTATAACAATAATATCGAATAGGTCCTTGAAAAATTTGATTTTAGGTCCTTGAAAGTCATTGAAAATTCCTTGAATTTTTTTTTAAAAGATTGAGTGGGAACCCTGCTTATACAAAATATTTGTAGAAAACCCCTTTACGATTAAACTCATTTATGGATCCTTCTATTTTGCTGGTGGATTTTAATGGTTATCGTGAGTTGTGGGGTAGTTCCGCCGACAGACTTTGCCGGACAGGGGGGATCAAACAAATTAAAACGTATTTTATGCTTCACATTTTTTTTCAAATGTGTTTCTAAGAAGCTAAAATCACTAATTTTGGTACCATAATGTGCAGATTCATTTGAATGTAAATTTTAATCACTTTTTTTTATGTTTGTAGTGTGTGGTGCAATTTACCACCCTACTTTATGCTTGTAAGTGCAATTTACCACACATTGTAAGCTTAAAAATTATTTCTGTAGTAAAGAATAATTGTTGCAGTCACCGTTATTTCAGAAAATTTTTACTCTCATAAAGCCAAAACTATTCGATAATAAAAAATTGAAATTTCGTGTGCATTTAACAAAACGTTTAAAGAACATTTTGAAATGAAAATTTTATTTTTGTATGCATCGATTGGCTTTTGAATCCTTTAAATATTAAATTCAATTTTCTCTTCAGTACATCCTGCAATAATTCATTTTTTGCTGATAAAGTTATACAAATAAAGTACAGTTTTTGCTAATAAAGTTATAAGTACATTTTTTACAACCACGTATTCTATCTAAAGATATTATGCCCCCTTTTGCACAAACTTCGAAATGCCATTATGCCCATTAAATTGTAAAATTCGATTTTTCTTTTGTTTTTAATTTGTTTGAGAAAAAGAAGGAGTCCTCCCACTTAAAATGTAAAATTCAAGCAATATAGCTAAAATTTTTAATGATTTTTTTCATTTGCAAACTTTAAATTTGCGTCTGAGAAACGAATATTAACTTACATTTTAAAAAAAATGCTGCTATTTGTCTGATTGTGTTTTCTTTCCTCTGCAGAGCTGAAAGACTTTCCACCAAGATTTCTGTAAGCTCTGAGGAGGCTTTCTACACATTGGCATGCGCCTGCATTGAATAACCTTTTACACAGCTATAGTTTGTCTACAGTAATAAGTCCCTCCGATACCAAGCCTGCTGCTATGGAAACAAGAATAACTCATTTCAGGGAGGGTCGTAGCTTCTCTTCACCCTAAGGCTAAGGGGAGACTATTAACAAACTATAATTAATTATTGTTTACCAACTCGAAACATTCTTTCCGCTACGATTTAAATTGACTTTTGCTTTTGTAGTTATGAATTTTAAGTCACAAAAGAGTAGTTTGAAAAACATGAGGTTTTTTATTTCTCAGGAGTAGGACTGGGCTATAAATCGATATATCGCGACATATCGATTTAACGCCTGTATCGGCAGGACGATACAGCGACTTTCGTTCCAGGCGATGCATCAGAAATCTGATTTAAGCTGTCGAGTAAAGAAGACGAGCG